AAACTATAATCTTGATTCCTGACCACATTAACTTATTTGCATTATTCTACAATATATAGGATATTAAAATAGTTTCAAGATACAAGATATTACTACCAATAATTAGTTAAATGAAGTATAAAATTTCCTTACAGTTTTACCTGTCTTTACTCAAATCTGTATTAGTCAGGATTCTCCAGAGAAAGAAACGAATAGGATGTGTACATATATTGGGAGGTTAGGGATTTATTTTAAGGAATTGGCTCATGTGATTATGGAGGCTGGCAAGACCAAAATCTGCAGGGCAGGCTGACAGGCTGTAGACTCAGGGAAGAGCTGATTTTGCAGTTCAAATCTGAAGGCTGCCTGCTGGCAGAATCCCTTCTTACCCAGGGGAGGTCAGTCTTTGTTCTATGAAGGCTTTCAACTGATTGGATGAGGCCCACCCACATTATGAAGAGCAATCTGCTTTATTCAAAGTCCACTGATTTAAATGTTTATCTCAACCACAAAACACTGTCACAGAAACATTCAGAATAATGCTTGACCAAATACCTGGTCACTGTGGCACAGCCAAGTTACTACATAAAATTAACCATTATTCCACTAAGGCTGTACTGTGGGTTGACTTGTGTCCCCCCAAGAGATATGCTGAAACCCTAACCCCTAATACCAGTGAATGTGACCTTACTTGGAAATAGCATTGCGTCACTGCAGATGTAATTAGTTAAGATGAGGTCATACTGGAGGAGGGTGGGCCCTTTACTCAATATGACTGGTATCCTTATAAGAAGAGAAGATGTACAGACACAGACGTGCACAGAGGGAAGATGATGTGAAGACACTCGGGGAGAACGCTACGTGACAATGGAGGCAAAGACTAGAATGCCAAGGATTGCCTGCAACACCAGAAGCTAAGGAAAGGCATGGAATAGACTCTCCTTCAGAGCCTCCAGTATGAACCAACTCTGCCAAAAGGGTTCCTGGGACTTCTAGCCTCTAGTACTGTGAGAAAACACATTTCTTTAAGTCCCCAAGTTTGTGGTACTTTGTTACAGCAGC